GGCGTTAACTCGTTTCTGTTTATCACCTCTTCGGATGGTATATACTTGACCCCGTCTTTTTGTGATTGTGTATGGTCCTTCCCACTTTGGAAGGAGTTTCCGTGAACCTAGCCCGCCTCCAACTGTATATCTCCTGTCTCTACACTTCACTTGGTCCCCGACTGCAAAGGTAATGCACTGCGTCCTTTCTTTCATCTGAGACTTCATGACATCACTGCGCTGCTTCCGTATTACATTCTTGACTGCCTCTTTCCTCTCTGCTTTTAATTTCGTCGTACTCCACTTTTGGTGCATGGGCCAGGTCTCATTGTGTACCGGTAATCGTGGTTTTCTACCATACATCAGTTGGAAGGGTGACTTCTTCGTTGTTTCCTGAGTGGTAGCCCGATGTGTTAGTAAAATCAGTGGAAGCTCCGTTTCCCAGTTCCCGCCCTTCGAGGCCAGCCACTCCTTCAGTGTACGGTTGTTTCTCTCCGTTAGGCCATTCGTTTGTGGATGGTATGGGGTCGTTCTGATCCTCTTGATGCCCAGCTGTTGCAAACGGGAAGTAAACTCTTCACTCTCGAAACAGGGACCTTGGTCTGTCAGTATTGTCTTCGGTACGCCGTGGTCTGCAACAATGTGTCTAACTACTGCATCTGTCACGGTTCTTGCACGTTGGTCTGGGATTGCTACGGCGTCTACCCATCGTGTCGCGTGTTCCGTCATCACCAAGAGGTACTGATTACCATTGGATGTCTGAGGAAATGGACCCATGACATCTACGGACCACAAGTCACCTATCGCGGTAACTGGAATCGACTGAAGTGGTGGTCGTATACACCGGTCACCTTTCATCAGCTGGCACCGTGGACATCCAAGTACGTATCTTGCTACGTCTTCTCTCATACCTGGCCAGTACATACTTTGTCTTAGGAGATCGGTCGTTCTGGCCACGCCTGTATGCGCTAGCTGGTGACATTCTTCTATCATGTCGTGGCGCGACGATTGAGGTATGACAGCCAGCCAGCTTCCGTCGTTCTCTCGCCAGGTCAGAGTCCCGTAGGCATTCACTCTGAGTCGATCCCTCTGTCTGAGTAGTGTGGTTAGCTCCTTACTCGCCGTAGTTTGATCCACTTCTATTCCGTTGGTGATCACCTGTATTACTGTATTCAGCGTATCGTCCAACCTCTGCCTACGTGCAAGTCTTAGTGGGTCTTGTTCTACTGCATGCACTCCGTAAGCGACCTCGGGCAACTCAGACTCATCTTCTGGTCTCGATAACAAATCTGCCAAGACATTTTCACTTCCAGGAACGTGTGAGATCGTAAAATCGTACTCCTGAAGACGCAACATCCACCGTGACAACTTCCCCCGTGGGTCTCTCGCTGTCTTCAAAAATTGTAGCGGCTTATGATCAGTTTCGATGTGGAACCGCCGGCCGAGTAAATAAGGTCTCCATTTGTCGACTGCCCATACCATTGCTAAACATTCTTTCTCTATCGTTGAATACTTTCTCTCTGCGAGTGTCAAAACCCTACTGGCATACTCAACGATTCCCTCGTCCTGTCTTAGGACCGCACCTATAGCGTAGTCACTGGCATCTGTGCACACTGTGAACTGTCTTCCTGGCACAGGTAGTTTTAGCGTCATTTGTTGGTGGTCGAGCAGCTGTTTAATTCTGTCGAATGTCCTCTGCGATTCTTCCGACCAAACAAACTTTGGCTCACCTAGTAGCCTGTATAGAGGGGCTGCTATCTCATTGAAGTTCTTCACGAAGCGGCTATAAAACGCTGCTCTACCCAAGAATTGTCTCAGTTTTCTCTTTGAATTCGGGGCTGGAATCGTTTTAATCGTCAAAATTTTCTCCGGCAGTGGTTTAATCTCACCATTTCCCACTTTATGTCCCAACAGAGTAACATTCTTTTTGGCTATCTGGGACTTGGTTTTGTTGACGCGTAGTCCAAACTCTTCGATGCGTCGCAGCACGGCTTCTACATGGTTGACGTGATCGTTTTCGTTTTGACTGTATATGACGAGATCATCACCATAAACCTCCACGTTTTTCAAGTTCCTAAGTAATAGCTTCATCAGTCGTCTGAACGTAAACGGTGCACCTGCTAGTCCAAACGGCATGCGTTTAAATCGATATTGTGTCTGACCCACGATGAAAGCCGTCTTATCTCTATCACCTTGTTTTATCGGTATCTGCCAGTATCCTGAGCGAAGATCGAGAACCGAAAACACATTCGCACCTTGTAGGCGATCTAAAGTTTCTACCACTGTTGGCATGGCACACGGTCTTAACTCTGTCATACTGTTTAACTGTCGAAAATCAACACAGAATCTATACTTCCCATTCGCTTTTTTTACTAACAGCACTGGAGAGTTGTACGGGCTATCAGCTTCCTCAATAATGTCATCTTTTAACATCTCTTGCACTTGTCGCTCCACTTCGCCTTCCAGATGACATGGAACTCTTCGCGTTGTAAATGACCTTACTTTCGGATCACTTAACGGAATTTCATGATTCACCTTATCGCAATAACCGTATGGGTCGCCATCTCCAGTGAACAGATGATCGTATTTACTAATTAACTCTGTCACATTGTGTACCGTCGGCAGCTTAATCGCTGCTATCTCGCTGGTCTCATACATGTTGATATGCCCGTATTTCGTGACCACCACGTTCGCTTGCGTGTCGATTATGGCACCAATCTCACGCAGAAAATCCGCTCCTAATATCGTTCGCTGTAGTTCGGGTACAACAATGAAAGGAAACGTCACCTCGCAGCCACCAACAACGACCGTACAGTTCGATCTACCCGTGATACGCAACACATACCCGCCTACTGTTTGTACTGTCAATGAACACGGGCTAACACTCTTACATAAATTCTTATCTATTAACGACACGGCCGCCCCTGTATCTATCAAACATACTACTTCTCGATCATTCACTCGCAACTTCGAATACAGAGCCCTTTCTCAATAGCCCCCACTAAATCTAGGTTCATACGAAAGAAAGAACAAGCATTATACCGTCTGAAATTTTTTCTTTTTCGCCTTTCTGGGCAGTATCTTCTCCAGTGTCCCGGCTTACCGCATTCAAAACACCGGTCTTTTCTATCAGCCAACTTTAACGCCGCCACTTCCCGCTGCAATGCTTCAATTTTCTGCTCATATTCGTTTGGTTTTGGTTGGTCTATAGCGGCTACCGTTGTGCTCAGCAGCTGTCTGGTCACCTTCGCCAGCTCGCTAATATCCATCGGCTGCGTTGCGTTAACCAGTTGTAATCGCTGAGAAATGTGGTCTGGGACACTCTCGATGAATTGGGAAGACAGTAACTGCGCTTCTGATTCTTCATCTAAAGTGGGAAGCGCGCGTCGAAGTAGATTAGTCAGTTTCACCGCCAACACTAGCGGGTCTCCATCAGGTCCAAGCTTCATTGACCGGAACTGCTGCATTGCTAGCTGTCTGTCTGTTTCGCTGTCAAACTCGGACACTAGTCGTTCAACCAATTTCTTCCAAGACGCTGTGCCATTTGACCTGTCTACGCTGTCATATGCAGCCTTCGCTCGGCCTCTCAACAGCGTCCCCAAGACAACTGCCTTCGCTGCCTGCTCCTTGACACCCACCAGCTCAGCAACAGCCTCGAAGTCACGTAAGAAGCTCCTTATGTCTCCTTCTTCAAACGCAGCTGGCCACGGGATCTTCATTTTCTGGAGGCAGCGACACCAAATGTAACAACAGAAGACAAGGGCGAAGCAACAGATCGTTTTATTATGAAAATCAACACGTATTTATACATATTTCAACTACATTATTATAGACAAGCGCAGTCATCTGATTGGTTGTTTATCAGAAGTTAGGTAGACAAACGCAGGCTTCTGATTGGTTGTTTCGGGATTCCTTGACAAATAGAGTTCTCTATCTGCGAATCATATTTTGCCACGTTAACTTTGCTGTGATTGGTTGTTGACTCAGCCTTGTTCATATTTTCTCACGGCCCATATTAGTGACCTAGACCTTAACGTAGATTAGTGCCAACCAATCGGCTAGCAGCCTGCTCTCACCACACGGGGACATACACACAAATTCTGCAGAAGGATTTTGAGGAAGATTAAAAATAGGATCAGGGCTATAAATAGATCTCAAAAGGATCTCATTTATAGTCATTTGGACGAATATATGCGTATAGAATGTGGTGTGACTTTTTATTGACACTCCTATGCTAAACTGGGAGATGTTTCTGTCACATATTAGAGAGAAAGATACCCTATGTAAGAGTTTTATTCAGTTTTTATGCTTTTTTTTTCATTAATATACGTTTTCCTATATCAAAAGTACCTCCTTCATGTGATTGGTCCGTTGAAGGTCGTTCGCTGATTGGTAGTTAGTGGTGCTTAAAGTTTAACTTTGCCCAGGTTTTTTCAACCTGGAACAGAAGGGTAAGACTACTAAAATTTTGGATCACCATTGTAAATCAAGGTATTCGTTTATCGGAACCTGAAAGAGTCTTCAATTCAATACGGGATGACACTGACAGCTGGAAAGCCTTCGAGAATAATTGATATTTTCAATTTTACTCAGTCGGGTGAGGTAAAAGGCGATTCCCTTTTTTAGGTGTCAGCTTGATCCTATAAGTGACAAATAAATTAATTTTGTGGTATATACTACTAACTGATTAATATGAGTAGTTGGGTGCTGCTGACATCAACCAACAGTACTTGCTTGAAGGGGTCTTAACCACCTGAGGGCTGTTTCCTCCATTCCGGAGTTGGGCTTATCCACAGTGTACGTGGCTTAAATTGGCTCAGATAGCCGAACAGATCCAAGCCAACCGTCTGATGTTCACATCACTTTGACCTGGCTATTATGTTCGCATGTTATTGCTGCAGTAATTGGGTAAATTATTATGTAATATATTTATACATACATATTATTGCATAATGCAGTTTCTTTTAAGTTTCTGTAATAGTTTCACAACCTTATCTATCTATCTATCTGTCTACCTGTAGCTGTGTCTCATCAGAGGATGGTTCAGTTGCACTTGGATTACAAATATTCTTCGTCAGAACACTCGGTATGTATTCATTGATTTGTCATTATCTATTATTATTATTATTATTATTATTATTTATATAATTATAGTGTACCAATGTGAGTGAAACATATCGTCTGCCTTACATATTTTAATGCCTTGCTTGAAAATTTGTCTGATGCTCACTAGTGACTGGCGACAAAATAGAGTCACCTGAAGTTCTCCAGTGAGAATTTATAACTATCTGAATCCATGAAATTGAGTTTGACGGTGAATACTCGATGAAAGCATTGGCTGGCAGTGGCGCTATTATGGCGAGTCAACATGGACTGATGGTCCACTCGATTCTGTCCCACTTTCTGTGAATAGTTTACAAGTTCACCTTGCCACCTGAAGCTCCTGGACGGAGTGTGTACTGCTGAAGACTACTAGACTAGACTTGGAGGACAACACAGTTGTCTAGCACCCCCTACTGGTTTTCCAATGGTCTTGTAACTGGAGTCAGTTTGTAGTTATTACAAATATAATTGTAATAGATAGTAAGACTGTCTGAGGTCTTCTTCGATATTACCAATGTAGATTGGAGGGAAATAATGCCCTGGATAATGCCTAGATTTCATAGCTCAGGTTACAGAAAGTTGCAGGAATAATCCCGGAGGTTGATGCTTCATATCCTACTGGTCACCAACATTTTCATACCAACTACAATCACACTACTGATTACATATAAATATTAAATTGCCAATCCAAAACTATCACAGCTTAGTTTCAGTGTACTGGTGGATGGTGACTAGCAGTGAAATCCAGGATGCACATTTCGTCCTGTTTGGGACTCGTCAACTGGATGTACCTGCATTCTGCATTGAGTGATGATGTTCCCACCGAGGCTGGAAACCAGTGCCCATAGTTTCAAACACCAAAGCGTTATCCACTAGACCACTTGGGCCACGAGAGTCACCTCTTGTGCAACGGGACCGAAGTGTTCGGTCCAATCAATCGACGGGAAAATCTCAAATTCAATTAATTTTTTCTTTGATTACAGCTTGATTCCTCCACACTGTATTTTTGGTACAAGTATGGAATTTTCAGCATGGATATCGGTAGCCCAAATTTCGCTGGCCGACTATAGATATCAGGTGTGCGTCGGCGTGGGCTCGAACCCCGGACCATGTGCATGGTCGGCGAGAGTCCTGTGCCACCACCGACGTTTCAGTGTCTTTAAATGTTTGCATACTACGTACTGAAAATCGAGCTAATCATTCATCTAATCAAGTGTACAATTTACAAATTAATCGATTACTTACTCGATTTCAGGTGAGATTTCATTACAGTTTCATTAATCTGAAACCAATTTTAAAATCTTCTGCACACACTCACTCACTCAGTCAGTCAGTCAGCATAAAGAACAAGATTGGGATTCTGTTCAACACAAATATGAATTCAGTCAGTCAGTTCTTCGATAATCGTCAGAAACTTGTACTGCGTTTCACGAAAAGGATTTCCAACAAGCTACTGCAGACTTTTATCAACAGCTGCCCCCTTCACTGGCTGGCTACTTACTGAAGATCAAACGCCCAGCCGACTGGCCAGAAAGAATTAGTAAGAAGAAATTCGGTCTGGAAACAAACCAACAATCAATAGTCGATCGCTCAACGAATATGTAGGAGAAAATGGAGATGGACTGATTGGACATACATTACTGAGGAGGCGGTCGAATGACATCGTGCGCAGTGTGTAGTCCAGTGCTCGATCGGAAGGTGAATTGGAAGCGACGAGTAGGTCGTCAGTGTTAGGGTGAAACGGAGGAGATGAGAGATTATGGGCAGTTGTGGAGCTAGCCAGCTGAAAAGGACAGTAAGTAGAAAACTGAACAAAGTGTGGATGTGTTGTTGAAGCTCTGTGTGTTCCTCTCGGAACCTAAGGCATTAGTAATAAGTCGTAAAGTCATTTATTGATTCAATCAATCAGATATTGATTATTTATCTATAGTTCAAATTTCCATTGATGTGTAAAGGACATATTTACTCTGTATTGTAATATTGCAACAACAGAAGACAAGGGCCAGCCAGCCAAACAGATCGTTTAATAAGGAAATCAACACACATATATAGATTTTCGTGTACATTATTATAGATTATTGTTAGCAGAAAAACACAGTCTTCTGATTGGTTGTTTCTCACGGAAAGTTAACCTTGCATCTCTTTGTGACTGTTTCTTTGAAGGTCAGATCATCTATATCTTAACTGTATCCGCCTACGCAAAACGTTTGTTCTCATTTTTCTCACGACCAATATTGGGGACATAAACATTGACGTAAATTACTGTCCATCAATTTTGACTAACAGCCAGCTCTCATCATAGTATAATAAGATTGTTGTTGTCACAGTTAAATCTGGCTTATGTGTGTCTACTTCGGTGTGTGTGTGTGTGTATGTGTGTGGGAATATGACCAAGTGATCAGCTGGCTACACTGTCGTGACCAGATGCTTATTCTAGCCTTGATGTAGTTGTGTTCTCTGAGGTGGGTAGTTTATAGCTGCGAAGCTTTCATTGCTCCCTACTAGATAACATCTTCAGCGCATACTTCCATTTGTTGAAGTGAGATTTTAGATTTCCCCATCAGCTTATTAATCATCTCTCCTGGTCGGTGGTGACCTTGAGTGTCGTGATTAGTTGTTTTTGTGTATTTTCACATCCTCTAGATTGTTGTGTTTGTATTGAAACTAATTGTTTCCTTGACTTGAACTTTGACCCTGTGTGTGATATTTCCTTCTTATCGATTGGTAAATTTTGTCTATATCGATGTGTCTATTGATCGATGATTCACTGGAATACCGAACTTATTCTAGTCAGCACAGACATCAACAACAACAATATCAAAAATACTAAACACTTTGTTACAACAATTATATCTTTGTATGTAATACTCATCCCCTTTTCTTCCTTCTGTTTTTTGTCTCTATAGCATATATCCCAGCGCCTATATACTTTGGTCAACTATTCGACTTGGCATGTCAATATCGTCTTGATTCAGTAAATCAACAGTACTCCTCTACAGCCTCACCTTCACCATCACCGTCAGTGTTATTCAGTGATCAACCGTCTAGTTTTATCCATCAAAATGAATCGATATCACCATCATCATCGTCGTCGTCTTCTCTGCTGTTATTACAAAATTCCTTGTATTCATCTACACAGTCGGCTGCAGCCGCTTCACATCAACTGATGACATCTGGTACTGGTGATGGTGGTTGTCTTGAATATAATCTTGAAGGATTACCTTTCATATGGCTTGGAACTGTATGCGCTCTGAAGGTGGTTAGTTTGATTGGTTCGACAATTACTTGGAGATTAGCTAAGTAAGCAAAATCAATTATTATTTTTATTGATTATTGATTTTTATTATTCTTTTGGGTTCTAAGTGGAATATAAGACCTCATCAACACATCTCAATTCTTTGCAGTCCCCTTTTTTTAGCTGACTGCATGATCGCTCACCAATGATATTCCTAATTGTGGTGGACTGACTGGATTATACGTCAGACAGTGGCAAGGCAGGAATATCCTGCACCGACCGACGTGAAGAACCTAGAAGACCTGGATTTCGCGTGTGGGTGATTTATGTTTGATGTCACTGTCACAAAATCGAAGACTTACAAGCGAAAACCGACCGACAAACTGGTCGAAGAAGCAGGTAGTGAAGACAGGACTCCGGGTGAACATAGACAAGACGTAGGCTATGAAAATAACCAACCAACCAACAACAAGGACAACAACAGCAGCAACATCCACCGCTTACTTACTTCATTCACTTATCAAGGGAGCATTGTCTTAACTACAGGAGGAACGGACGAGGATGTCAAATCGAGCGAGAATCGGGAAGGCGAGAAACACATCTACCAACTTGAAATGAATTTGGAAATCTTCGTCAATCAATCCATATCAACAACAAAATTCGGTAGGATTTTCAATACAAACGTCAAGTCAGTCAGTTCTTCTATACGGATCAGAATCTTGGCGAGCGGGTGGGTCACAAAGAATATTTCCAACAGCCTGTTGCAGACGCTACCTTTATCAACAACTGTCAACTATCGCTCTATAATGAAGATCAGATGGCCGGGCACGAAAGAATCACCAACAAGAAACTATTGGAAGGATCAAACAAAACAAGAACCAATCGCCAACCAACAAATACGCAGGAGAAAGTGGAGATTGGTTGGACACTCGCTGAGGAGGTCGCTGGGTGACATAGCGCCTCAGGCCATCACTCGAGTGGAACCCGAAAGGGAAGCGGCGAGTGGGACGTCCAAGAGTGACATGGAGGAGATCGTGTGAGGAGGAGTTGAAGCAGTATGGACTAACATGGATGACGGTGAAAAGTAGAGCAGAAGATAGAAGCAAGTGGAGACGTTGAAGCCCTTTGTTCCACTAGGAACCCAAGGGAACAATAATAATAATGATTGCTCATTGGCTTATATCTCCTACATTTCACCCTCGAACCCCATGCCCAACACGGGTTCCATTCAAGTACCTGACCAACACGTGTGTCCAATCCGTCTTCAGTTCTTTCGGCGATAGGTTCTTGGTTGGTTCGTTCCCAGATATTCTTGTTGCTTAATCCTTCTGGCCAGACATCTGAGATACTTCGGTACCGAGCCAATGACAGTTATTTGGGAAATGCTTCTCATGAAGCACACTAATTCTTAACCATATAGAAAGACTCACTGATTGGACATTATCGGTGCGTATCCGAATACTTGTTATTCATGCTGATGATAGCAGTAGATTTTGCACAACGGTTTTCAGAGTATTGAGACGTTGTCTTGCTTTTTCCGATCATGCTTTTAGTATCTTCACTTGTGCCCCTGTGGGGGGGGCGGGGGGATGTAGTTAAAACGTTGTCGAAGTAAGTGAAAAAGGTGACTCTCGTCAAATCTCTTCCTTTTGTCGGAAATATTTAGTCTGGAATGTTTGTGTAGTCTAACTTTTCATACATAAAAACCTGCCTTTATGAAATTTTCGACATCCAGTTAACGAGACGGAACACTAAAAAGATCCATCTACAGAAAGCTGACATAGGTATGGGCAACTTACTCAGTATCACAGTCGAGTGGTGGTGCCCTTATATATACAAAACGAAACCTGATCCGTTGTTCACTGAACGAACCACAGAATCCACAGCATTCTCAATTCTAATACTATGGAAGAGAAGCTAAAACACTCTAAAGAGAATCCTCGTCGAAAATGGCTACCTAGAATGCGTTTCATCACAAAATTTATGAAACCTAAACCACCAAAAACCGCCCACAGTTTCTACTCTCGAAAAAACTTCTCTACGTCGTGGATCTACAATTCAATGGAGATTCATTAGTAGAAAAATGCTGAAAAATCGCCTTCCCTCTCACTGAAGAAAGCCTTATTCGTGGATGGACTTCGAATATAACTTTCTCTACGAAACCATTGTTTCGCATGAACTTAGTGAAGGATAAGCTACCACCAGTGTTGGCCGGCCTCATCAATGTGCATCTCCAAATTCACCTGCTCCTGTGGAACTAGGTATGTCGGCTGTACGTGTCATCGAACAATTACCCACAATCATTGTCTTATTATAAAGGAGAAAAAGAATACACCCCCCCCCGCTTGCAGTTCTGTCCTGAAACACCTGATCGAATCTGGACATCAATCCAACCCACAAGAGAACTTCGAAGTTATCTACAGAATAATATATGGGAATCCCCTGCTAAAAGAGTACGAATCAAATATCTTCAAATCGCAGAAGCAATGGCGATTCCCATGTCAAATCCCGAACACTGGATACTCTGATCTCTTATTGTAGAAAGGAAGTATAAATGAGATGTATTTTTCCTTAGTATCACAGAAACTATCAGTGGATTGTGCACAATTATTTTTAGACTCAAAGTGAGGACAATACCATACTGGTGACTTCACATAAGTATTTGGTTACTTAAAACAATTTAAGTAGTTAAGTTGTAACTTTATAAAAAGTATGTCATTTGATTACAACAACTATCCATGTTTGGGAAACTCATACCTCTGATAAACCTCAAATAGACAATTTTTCACCTAATTGAAAAGTTACATTTCATTATGGGTAAAATTTATTTTGATAAAGCCACTTAGCGATGTTGTACAGTAAGTAATATTTACTGATGCCCACGTTTCCAGCACAATGTATTACTGCACATAATCATTATATCAAGCCACTACTCACACAATATTCCAACTTCGTTTATATAATTCGTGGGATCAATCATCCTAACCTCAGCTAGATTCTTATGCTCTGATAATCTGACTACCCCCGCCTGATCTCCTAGTTTGACCTATGTAGTTGACCTCCCACCCAGTCATTGCAAGGTATTTTGTAAATTATATTATCTTGTCTAATTGGGTCAACCTACAGAGCTTGTCCTGCCTGAGTGAGTTTGTAGGAGGGTTTGAATGCCACCCTAATTCGTGCCTTATTAAGAATCCTACGTATGGTCTCAGATGTCCCATCTTTATATGGTATAACTTTAGATGCCTTATATTCTCTCTTATTTATGTTATCATTATTAGTTTCACCATTATTTTTATTTTGCTCCTGACCTTTTTTCACCTTCCTAATGACCTATAAACTCACTCAGGTAAGACAAGCTCTGTAGGCTAAAGGACCCGCCTGACGCAATTAAAAGCAAAATAATATAATTTAAAAAATACCTTTCAATGACTGTGTTTCTTGTTTCTATGATTTGAGTTGAACTCAGTGTACTGTTATCTAATTCATTAGTCACTCACTCAGTATCTATTGTCTTTATTACGTAACCACTGTATCATTGTATGCATACATTCACTTTGTTCGTTTAAACTTTAATTGCCTGTGTAAAAACTATATAGGCATAATTTTCTGAGCACTGTTCACTAAGTCCAGAAGCTCCTGTCAACTGACATCATGTTACCACATTTGCAAGTATGTTAAAGTCGTTTCTTTAGATGAACTTAAAAATAATTTATTTATGCTGTACGGAAGCAGCTGTGCAGATGATGAGAAGCCAACGGAATAAATAATGATAGTACCTTATTATTCTGCACAAACCACCCTGTAGTTCTTGGTCTATTCAAAAAGAGAATTATTATTACTATTATATTATTATTATTGTTTCCTTTAATTCCTAGAGGAACATAGGGCTTCAGTCGGACGTCTCTACTGTAATCAGTTCTCCGTTAACCTTTTCACCTCACTACACATCTGTTCACACGCTACCATCTCCTCTATACATGACCTCCTCCATGTTGTCAGCCTCCCACTGACGACCAACTGACTTGCCACTTCCCATTCCACCGGGTTCCAATCGGACGATGGCCTGGAGTGTGATGTCACTTGTTGGTTTGTTTTCTCAGAGTATAGCCATCAATCCACCTCCATTTCTTCCTACATATTTGTTGCACAATTGACTCCCGCTGGGTGGTTGGTTCGTTCATTGTCAGAGATCCCTATTGCTTATCTTTTTTTTAGCCGGCTATCTGATCTTGAGTAGTACTGAGCGAAGACACCTGTTGATGTGAGGTTTGTAGTTTGTTCGAAGTGGCCTTTGTGATGTGGCGTGTGGTTCCAAGTCTCTGATCTATATAAGTAAGTAACACTGACTTCACAGTGGAGTTGAAAATCCGTATCTTATTTTTCATGCTGAATGCTAAGTGCCGTTTATCTCTATACAGACTTTGAGAGTAAAGAAAGCTTGCCTTGCTTCCCTGATCCTTGCGCTTTGATATTCTCATCAGTTCTGTCCGCCTGTAGTTATAAAACGATGCTTCCCAGGTAGGTTGGTAGGTAAAAGAAGTTGCTTCTTTCGTATTTCTCCCATTTATGCCGGCTGATTATTGTCTGTTGTTGTTGCTGTTGCTGTTGTCCAGGAATCTTCATCACCTACCTCTGTTTTGCCTTTGTTCACCTGAAGTCCTATCTTCTCTTGATGCTTCTTTGACATAACTAAGGGAAGGAAGGAAGGAAGGAAGGATATACAGAAAAGTGAATAAACAAAACGAATAATAATTAGAACCAAAATGTGAGCGGGGATTATCATACTTTAGCATAGACAGATGATTAAGACCTATAACAGTTGAAGGAACTTTTTCTCTGCGTCTAGCATCTCTGTCTTTTCTATTTCGATGACCAAAGCTTCAGCAACACAAATAAGTTAAATAGATACATAGTGATTTTGGCCAAATTATTTTTTTGTCTTGTAGATAGTTAATTTTAAAGGGAAACGATCGTAGAAAATAAGGTTACCAGTATTGAGTAAATGTTCAGTTATATTCTTATAAAGCCTAAAACTAATTTATGTTATGTAACAATTCATGAATAATTCCCATTGGAACATTAGTAGACAAAAGACAAGTAGTTCAGTGAAGAGTCTCTTTTCGGCGACGAATTCATTTTCATAGCTGTACAATCGCAAATATATATGCTTATTTTGTGTGTGTGTGTGTGTGTATACATTAAATTTATCAAACGAAAATACAATTAGTAAGTTCAGATGAATTGGATGTTCATATAAGTGGATAGTAACAAAAGTAATGAGTTGTCATAAATGATTGTTAAATAAGAGTTACGTAATGGCATGAATAGTTTGATGAATGAGTTGTGCTCAGGGTATACATGGAAACAAAATAATATATAGAATTACACAAGGGTTTTAAGTTAGAAAAATAAGCATACAAACAGAAGTAAGGTTAAATCAAACAAACAAACAAAAGTTAGGTCAAATCAACGGAGTTGTTACCACGCAAGTAGAAATGGTTGGATAATTTTCTTTTGTATGCATAGTTCTGGTTCCACCAACTGAATGGCTAGGGCTTCTGCGATGCAAAGAAGACGGAATCGTACTGTATTTAGAAGGTTGTTCTTCACTTTGTAGATTACTTTGAAGGAGGCGTTTGTTGAGATGGAATGACCTGTAGTGTTGATGAGATATTCGATTATTGCACTCCTTACATGGCCATTATTTCCTTTCTGTAGCCACGCTGGATAGTGTTCTTTGACCCTTTTAGACAGGATGCGCGTTGAACGACCGATGTACCTGGCTCCACAGCAACAGGTGAACTGATATATACACATAGAAGTGGTTATGTGCGGAATCTTGTCCTTTGGGTTTCTGCAGATCAGCGGGCGACTGGAGAACACTATTCTTAATGTTGCCGCAGGGAAAGTTCTTCCTAAAGAGGTGGAAATTCTCCTTCTGAGGACGTCACTAAGTAGGTCTCCTTTGAAGTCTAGGTTCATATAAAGTATCTTTTTAGGCACGGATAGTGTCTCTTGCTTTTGGTTTTTCTGTTTGATGTTTTTGTCTACGAATCTTGGTGGGTAGCCATTTTGTATGAAGATTTCCCTCAGGAAGTTTAGTTCTTCTTCCATGGTGTCGGAGCTGCAGATGCGTGCGTCTGACGCGAGTGGCAAGGGATTTAATTAGGTTTCTTTTCCAACTGATTGGTACCCAGCTGTAGAATTCACAAAAAAAAAACCACACATGTGCTTGTACGATTGTACAGCTTGATGAATAAATTCGTTGAAAAATAAACTTTTCGATGATTCATCGAAGAAGAAGAAGAAAGAATGTTGCTCCCTAGTATAAATATTTTAAAACTGAGTGCTTCCTATTGACTGACTAATGGGTTCATCTACTGATACTCAAACCTGTCAGCTGTCGACTCAAAACTTTAAAGTCTTATCGACTTGGCCCATTGGGTTCTATGCCTAGCCAGTCATCGCCTTCATCAACGACAGACAATATTAGATGATATAGGATGTGGATCAGGTTGTTGGGAGAGAGAGCTTGTGGCTAATGGTCAAACCAAAACATGATGGTATCAGTTAATCAAATCCACAACAGTCAGTTTAAGCTATCCAACCAGTCAACCACGTAGGGAGGTGTAGACTGCCGGACTAACTGGTTGGGTTCCTCGGGATGGTAAGAACCAGTGAAGGCTGTGGAGATAATTATCTGATTTTTGATTACAGCTTGATTCTACACCGTATATTTGGTACAAGTGTGGAATTTTCAGCGTGGATATCGGCAGCCCAAAATTCTCAGGCCGACCATAGATATCAAGTGTGCGTCGGCGTGGGCTCGAACCCCGGACCATGTGCATGATCGGCGAGAGTCCTAACCACTGTGCCACCGACGCACAGTGATGGTGATATATGGCTCAAAGTCGTCGTTCTCAATGGCTGGCTGGTGCAGATGTATCCACTCCTTGTGACTTACAATATCCAATAAAACTATATTGTTCTTCTATATTACTACTCTTTTTGCCTCATTCACACGTTTGTTTATTATCTCTCTTTTGATTAATCGCTTTTTTACTCTCTCTCTCTCTCTTCTCTTGTTTTGTGTGATACATGGAGTTTGGCAACGTTTGTGCAAAGTCCTATGTTGAAACGAGTGCAGTCAGTCAGTCCAGTGGGTTACATGAGCAGTGTCTTTTGTTAGTAACCACTGTAATATTAAAGTGTTCGTTGAGTAGGACCATATGCCAAAAAAAGCTAGACTTCTCAAACCTTCCAAGTAGTTGACAGTAGAGTCGTGTTTACGCTTAACATCTCATCCACTCAAAAAGAGGGTTTTCCACTGTCTTAATTTTTGTTGTTAATAAACACTTCTTTTGGGAATAACAAGACAGAAATGTGTCAGACTTTGATCTTTGACTGACGAATTAGATGTGTTTCATTACTGCTGATGCACCTCTGTTGTCAGACACAAATGAAATTTCTTCAAGTTACTTGGAATTTCTCTTCATTTATTTTATTGTCGCTCTGATGACATGTTGGCAATTAGTGGTTAGAGACATCTTCGGCAATTCCTTAAGATCTAACTCTGATTGTGGCCATTGTTAACGTGAAGAGGTGGCTTGCATAGCTCAACAGACTAATGGGTATTGGGTTCTCGAGGTTCAGTGTGAGGTAGCACCCATCACTCTCTGTAGATGCAAATACATCCAGCCTTATCTATTTGTATTTCATTGTTTTATATTCCAAGTGGAACGTAGAGGACCACCCCCCCTCTCAGCTTCCTCTCCTCACCAAGATAACTAACGGTTTAAATGAGGTGGGATGAAGTGGGATGCAGTAACCGGGAATCGGACCAAAGCCTCAGGATGGTCGGGGGTGGGTGCCCTGCGCTGCGGGTTGGCCACCCCTCCGTACACCTCTTAAAATGCTCCCATATGACCGGGCGTCTTACATAGCCTCTCCTGAGGAAGTCTTACTCACTGCCTTCACGCGGCAGAGGTGTTTTTCACCGAAGTGAGAGGGCAAAAGCGGATGCCCGGCGCTCTCCACCGGGTTGACTGTGCATTGGGTGACAGTCTAGGGGAGATAGCTAAACCCTGATTCCAAACTTCCAACGACTGGCGTATGAAGCTCACCGGCAGACGTATGGACAAAAGGCTTATTGGATGCCGTGGATGTCTGGCCCCATTCAAAAAGGCGTATGAACCGGACTCCGGTCACCGGCTGGCTGACAATGGATAGTGGACTCCCTACTCCACTCCTACTGCCTTGTAGGTCACACTTGGCTGTGTAAAGGCTAGAGCTGCACTCTCAAACAAAGGGCCGAGCGATGCTGGGGACATCACTCGTACCTAATTCCCATGAAACTCCATGACCTCTCTACAACATCAACCAAACTCCAGTACTGGTCCAACAACGTCGCCTTCGGTGGTTTGGCTATGTTCTGCGCCGACCAGATGACGATCTGGTCAAATCAGTTCTAAATCCTTTGCCATTTCCATCTTGGCGATGTCGCAGGGGTGGACAGCTGAAAACATGGCTTGGTAAAGTCAAGGCTGATATGGAATGCCTGGTCTGGGGCTACAAACCGTCTACGGACTCCGTCTGTGGAACAAGAATTGGATAACCCTGTCGCAAGACCTTGCATCAGATCGCCGCGCCTGGGCAGCAATGATTCGAGATGTTCATGAAGCCGGCTCATCCTCCCGTAGGAGATAGCCGAAGTAAAGTAAAGTAAGTAATCGAACCCAAACCTCATGAGGCTAGTATTCTATTGACATGTCCTAAATAGGTGAAAAACGTGTATCCTGAATTCTCCACTGTTTTAACCAGCACAATCACAAATTAAATAACATTACTTTTTCATTCAGTTAACCATGTTTTCGTTGTTTTAATTAACTAATTCATTGATTATTATTTTAAAGGCGGCAATTCAATTTGAATGCAAAACGTAAACAAAAAGAAGACGCTGATAAAGAAGAAGGACGACAAGAAGAACAAGAACACATGAACAGTAAAGATCAAAAAGAAGAAGAAGGAGAGGAGGAGGAGGAGGAGGAAAGGGCAGGCGAAAATAACATCAGCCAACAGCATAAAATCATTCCTGATCCAATCGATCTGATAAACAGCAATAATAATTATAATTCATCACCGGGTATAGAACCAACTTTAAATAGTCAAATTTTCAATACTCCAAATAATAATAATACCCAAGAGATAGCAGTTATCATATAATTTGAGGGATGTTTTTGCACTGTTTCGTTTTATTGTCTTTTCTAGTTCTTATGATTAATGCAACGGGTGGTAAATAAAGTAAAGATGTCATTACATAACACACTTGAGGGTAATTGCCTGTGTTTTCCGCTTCTCCTATTTTCTCTCTCCCTTTCTTCATATTGATTGCATAATCTTCGTTTATTATATTAATTTTGAAATAATTTTGTAAATTCTATTTGTTTCTCTCTACTAGTGATCGCATAATTATGATGAGGTTTGCTTTTCTTTTATTTGTGGTGTGTGTGTATATATATGTGTATTGAAGATTCACATGTAGAACTGCCTAAAGTGTCGTCGATCTTGAAGTTGTCATATTACGTAATGCTGATTTCTACTCCAATCTGTTGTGATTGTCATATTTGTATTACTGTATCCACTCACACACACATACATACACACACTGATAGACAAGCAGATAGACACAAACGTAAATTAAATTCCTCTTAACATTAGGATTTTCGTTACTTTTATGTGAGTGCAGAGGTGCACCTCGATTCCAGGGCTTTTCTTGTGTGTGTGTGTGTATGTGTGTATGAAACTATCATGTGCCACTCGTGTTTTTTTGGATGAATAGGGGCTGTTATGGTAGTCGAAATTGCTCTCCCGTCAGAACTGACTCTCAAAAAAACACTCTGTGGTGCAGTTTTCTCTTCTCATTGTTTCTCTGTGTTTGGGTGTATGTGTCGTGGTGTCGTCCTTTCTTTATTATTAATCAAGGCAAATGTGTCTTTCGTTCATATATCAAAGAAAATTAAAAATCATTCTTGGAGAGAGAGGGGGTAGGAGAAGAACTGGCCAAAATTAAGTGACCGACCATGTTATGAATTCTTTTCACAGTTCATCATTCTTTATCTGTGTATATCCATCTGTGTACCTGTCTATAGCTTAAACTCTTCAATCCACCGGTGATCATATCGAGAAAACTGTCTTTATATCCTCTCAGATATATACATAGATGTATATTTACTTTTTCTGTGTGTGTTAAACTTACTACTCAAAAACTGTTACTAGTAGTATTATTATTAATGACGATAAAAATGAAGGAGAAAAAATGGAAAACATCAATAAAGAAGACGTCAGTGTTCCTCTTTTTTGTTTTCCTCTTCGTCCATTTAATCTTCCTCTCTGTGTGTGCGTGCGTGTGTGCGTTTTTTGTGAGTGTTTTCACTTTTCCTTTTTTCTTTCTTTTGTATGTACTGTTTACTCGTCTTTCTGTGAATAATATGTGTATGTATACACGTCTGCATATATGTATATGTTTACTGCTCTTTTCATCCCTTTGATGTTCCAAATTGCGACGGGAGGGGTAGTGGACGTAGAAACCAGATGTTTTGAACTATCTATCTATCTATGGAAGGGTTAGTATGTTGCTTGCTAGTCGAGCGAGTATTGGCATATTGGCATAATCCCATTTTTAAGTTTTCCTGCATTTATTTCCCCCCTTTGATGAATTTGAATAAATCAAAACAAGTGATCCATTCAGCGAAGAGACTCTTTTCAACAAATTTATCATTAAGTTGTACAATCGTATTTATATATGGTTTTTAAGAAGTTATATCAGCTAAGGGAATTGAATAATAGGTGTGAATGCATAAAATAATAATAATATTATGAAATGCAATTAAAACGAAAGTTTCAGGATTTCATCACGTGCTGACATTAGTTAGAGAACCATTGGAAAACCTGGGAGAACTGGACAGCTGTTTCCTCCGTCCTAGTTTGGGACTCTTCAGCAGTGCGCATCCACCACCACAGTTCGAACCCAGGACCTTCCGGTTACAAGGCGAGCTTGTATACCATTAAGCCACTGGGACCCGACCCAATGGTCCTTGAATTCTAACTTCTGCCAATTCACGACATAGCGCGACCGCTAGCCAATGTCTTCGGCGAGTATTTGTCCTCACACCCGACCCGCTGCATCCTACTGGTCACGACTTCCCACTGGAACCCAGGCAACCACTGCTGATGAAGAGTCCCAAACTAGGACGAAACAGCTGTCCAGTACTCCCAGGTTTTCCAGTGGTTCTCTAACTAATGTCAGCTCATGATGAAATCCTGAAACCAATCAAATCCCTACAAACCTACACGTAAAACTAAAGTGTTTGTGATTATAATCGTAGTTAAATGTCAAGTGGCAAAGCAAATTAATATCATATGTAGAATAATTCATAGGATGGATAGAACTTGAAAAAGGGTGTCCAATTATAGGATTAGTAGACAAATAAAAAAAGTAAAAACGTTACATAATATTGTGTGAAATTTGATAGCATAGAATTTAACGTTGTACAAAAGAAGAACTGATTTAGAATGACAAATGGAACAAGTGAAATAATACCGGGGACAGTTCAAAGTGAGAATAGTAATAGTAACAATTGACGTAATAAGGAAGAGTATACAAATTGAATAGGCTTCAAGTTTCAGTAGCATTGGGAGTGTCCCCACGCAGACACCTATGACCAAAGACACTAGCTAGCCAGGCTTTTCATGTTTTTCACTTTCAATGACCACCATATCTCACAGCCATAAAGGAGGAGGAAGAGAACTGCTGGGTAGTAAACACGTCCTTTCACCAGTAGCCAGTCAGATATGTACCAAACGAGCATTTTGTATTCGTGCTGAGATTTCATCCTCAAGCAGTAAGTTGGCCTGATATATTTCCCTAAATATGTGAATTGGTCAACACAATCAACCACTTAACTCCTGCCTATCTTTAAGCTAGGAGTGAGTCGATGTAGCTTAATCTTACATTTGACAGGAGCCAAGAGCATAGGCGAGCAATCTACCACTGTACATGTTTACCTCGATGAATTAGTCATAACAGTAGAGATCAATCTGTTTGCATCTGTATAGGAGTAATATATATATATATATATATATATATATATATATATATATATATATATATATATATATATATATATATATATATATATACAACATAGCATAACAATTTCGCTTTTATTCCAGAAACAGTACTTGTGGTACAGTGTGGAATTTTCAGCACATATCTACAATATTGCATCTAATTTCATCGTACATTTAAAAGGAGTATTACAAAAAATAAATATAAAAATACACAACAAAAATCAGAAAAGAAAATACAGAAATAACAAAAAATGCAAATAAAAATATCAAGTAGAAAGGAAGATAAACACCTGATAATGAAATATATTTCAGTATTTGGTAGTGGAAGCTATGATATGTGTATCCGTGGTGAACAGTAACAGCTATAATCATACAAGAAATTATGAGATGTTCTTAAGAATGTTAATAGCTAAGATGATCAGTTAATTTGATTGAACAACACTAAACAATCATAAAATAAACATTTCAGGTTGTGTTTTTTTATTGTCAGCACTAATGCGGTGTTTGTAGTGGTAGTGTGAGGAATCATGCATAATATAACATTTTTAAGATGGTGATAGTGGCGTTCACAAACAAGATTGTCAGTTAAATAGTGCTGAACAAAGAACAACCACAAAACTAATATTACATGATGGCTAATGACAGGACAATTTTGTAATAATCATAGTGATAATATAGTCGGACCCAGTAGATATACAAACAAAGGAATAGAGTAAAGTACAAAAAAGTAAGCCAATGATAATAATATTAAGTAGCTAAGTATGTTTAAGAAAGTTGTTCACTATAGAGTACAAATAAGAGAGTATAAGGGGGAAATAACAAGGGCCAAAATTATGTTATTAACAACAAAGCAAGTCATAGGTTTCGCGCTTAACATTGTCTCTGTCACTTAGAACACGGGCCAAATATGGTATCGTTGAGTTCCTATACTTGGTTGTACGAGCATATATTATTTTGTACTGATTTCCGGTTCTACCTGATGAGATGCAGGGAGAGAGTTGGGAATAGAGGGGGTGTTGGGAATCAAAGAGTATGGTTTTAGTCCATTTCTCGCATGTATTCATTTTTATTTTTTTTTGGTTACAGCTTGATTCCACACTGTATTTTTGGTACAAGTATTGAATTTTCAGCATGGATATCGGTAGCCCAAATATTGCAGGCTGACCATAGATATCAGGTGTGCGTCGGCAGCGTATCGAACCCCGGACCATGTGCATGGTCGGCGAGAGTCCTAACCACTATGCCACCGACGCAGATGCTTATCCACTAATGTGGTGATGAGCTGACTGAGTTTTACACCGCTAGTCCTACTAACTACCTTCAACATCCTTCTCAGGATGGTATAGTCCTTTTTCAGTAACCCAGGAAAGACTAACGGGGAGCAGTAAAGTAGAATAGGTAGGATACGAGAGTTGACAAATTGTGAAAGCAGAGGTTGAGGGACTCCAGTTAGTCTGAGTTTCTTAATGTAGTAGGTTAGACAAAACACTTTCTTGGAAATCATTTGGATATGAGATGACCAAGTAAGGTCGGAAGATAGAAGTAATCCGAGGTATTTTGCATTAGACTTTGTTCCAATTATAGTCCCCTCAATGCTACAGGCATCATGAGTGCTCACTAGTGTTTGTAGATCTCGTTTATGCCTAAAGGAGAAGTCGATAGTCTGGCATTTTGAGGGATTCAGCATGAGGCCATTTAGTTTTGACCACTGACTGATGTCAGACAGGAAGCTATTGTATTTGAAGCAGTCTGACTGAGACTTAACGGGAAGCGAAACAGTCAGGTCATCTGCATATTTGACGAAGTTGATTTCGTCTGAGAGAGGTAAGTCATGTAAGAAGAAGGAAAAGAGAAACGGCGAGAGAACAGCACCCTGAGGAACACCAGCTTCAGTAAGCAAAGGAGAGGAAGCTACACCATTATATACCGTGTACTGCATCCTATTGGAGAAGTAAGAGTGCAGCCAGTTGATAGCCCAGGACTCAGTTTGTGTAAGGCTAAGCTTGTTTAACAAAAGGCCTCTAGGTAAAGAGTCAAAAGCGGATGTGTTATCATGGAAAGTACAACGGACATACTTGGCCCCTTTGTCTAAGGAGGATACAATGTTGTGATGAAACACAGCAGCAGCATCCAAAGTACTTCTACCCTGTTTGTAAGCAAACTGCCTTGGATCATTTGAGAAGCTTAGGGAGGGAACGAGTTAAGAGGAAAAGAAAGTGAAGTTATCCATCACACCCGTTTGGCATAAAATGAGGAATTTTATTTCTCACAGTAGGGAAAAAAATATTTCTACCTTATATTGTAACGACAGAAGACAAGGACCAGGCCAGCCAGATCATTTATTGAGAAAATCAACAGATATTTATAGACATACAATTGGTGGATGGTGGCTAGCAGTGGAATCCAGGATAAAGCGCATTTCGTCCTATTGGGACTCGTCAGCTGGATGTACCTGCATTTCTCAGTGAGTGATGATGTTCCCACCGAGGCTCGAACCCAGTACCTATAGTTTCAAACGCCAAAGCGTTATCCATTAGACCACTTGGGCCACGAGAGCCACCTCTTGTGCAACGGGTCATATTAATTATTGAATTGAATTTTTTGAAGCCGACATGTCAACCTGAGACCGAGCACTTCGGTCCAATCAATCGACGGGAAAATCAAAGAATTCAATTCAATAGATATTTATAGATTTTTATGTACATAATTGTTAGTGGAGAAGCAACGTCTTCTGTCTGATTGGTTGTTTTCCTACTGAAGCTTATTCTGTCATCCCTTTGTTGCCGTTTCTTAGACAGTCCGTTGTTATATCCGCCCACGTCAAGTCTGCTATGACTGGTGGTTGTTGAGTTAGTCTTTGTTCTTGTGTTTTTTTTCTCTTGACCAAGTTTTGGGACGTAAACATTGACGTTAATTGCTGTCTACCAATTTTGGCTAGCAGACAGCTCTCACCATATAATGACTTCATTTAAGCCTACCTTGCCTTGTGACCTGAAGGTCCTGGGTTCGCCGCCCCACCCCCCCCCACGCAGTGCGTTCGTGCTTGCTGATGGTGAGTCCTAGAACAGGAGGACAAAACTGCCATCCAGTACACTCTGGTCCTCCAAATGGTATCAGCAAGTGGTCAACCTTCAAACTACCGATTCATTTTTTGAAGAAACCTTCACTCAAACAGCAAACACACAAGTGAAATAGTAGCTTAAAAATCCCCATTGAGTTATATGAAAAAGAGAAGACGTTCAGCGAAGAGACTCTTTTCGACAGCGAATTCATTCACATAGCTGTACAACCCCACTTAAATATAATTATTTGTGTGTGTGTGTGTGTGTACATGAGGTTTGTCAAGTTTAGATAATTAATTAATCAGGTAATACAAGAATGATCTCATATAGAAACAAGGTGAATTAGACAGCAACTAAAGTAAGATTGAGTTAGTTAGTAAGTTAGATGGATGACGTAATATAATTGACTAAAATGTTTCATTTAAGGTCCTGGTAGCAACAGAGGTAATCACAGGTAGAGACTAAGTAGAAGTGTGGTAGAGAACAGCGCCATTTCAACTAGAACTAAAACTGAGCAAATAAATTGGATGACGTAACATAAATGACTAGAAATTGAGCATTGGTCAAGTTAGCAACAATGATAATGGGTGTAGAAACCAACTCAACAGAAGATATGAAAAAGTAAATGGAAATAGATTGAACATAAGCTG